AAAAAGAAGCTTCACAATCGATAAGAGAAGTAATTTTAAGTATTGATGTGCTGTTTTCAGTGATAGAGGTGTCTATGTTTCCAGGCGTTCTGGTGGCCACGAAGTACACCGTCCTTGGAATTCCACGTCAGATGTTTTCGGCCGCCACTGAGCTCTCAAACCTGCGTGACCACAGCCTTGCACATGAAGAAACAAATGAATATGTCCGACTGGTTAATGATATGCGCCCGACACAGCCCTTGCTTTCAAAGAACAGGAGAGGGGGCTTCGCTGCGCTTGTCCGCACGCACGTGCACGACCTGGCTAGACAGCACATGCGCGCTGTAGAGACCCGGCCGTAGCGTGTGCTCACTGCTGTAATTTTTCACCGCTAGAGGGCTGAGAGTGCATCCTCAAGACGTCACATCCTTTCATCTAGAACATATATCACAGTCGTGAATTCTGCACTCCATTGTAAAATTCAGCCAGGTGCGCTTTTAGCCGGCTGACATATTTCCCGTCCCGTCGCCACTGAACCCTGTAATAGAGCTGTATTCCGGGAACAGGATGCCAGACAAGAGCAGATGGCAGGACCACCCACCGAAATTCTTGTTCGTCTCAGACCATACCAAGCAATACGCTGCCTAACCAAGCAGATTCATGAAATCAGGAGACGCTTCGTCACCGGAACGGTTGATCTCACGAACTGCATTCGTCTTCAATCCGATGAGGTGATGAGGAGAATCTACAGATGCACGCAACTCCGATCCCTGTAGTGCTTAGCCTGCCACCTCACGGCCCGTGACGTGCTGGAGTCGATGATGACCAAACTACAGCGTTTCGTGGAACTCGAGCTGTCACTGGCTCGATGGTGCGGCAACTGTCCATTGACGACGTGGCTTCTCGGCTGAGCCATGCCGAAAGAGTGCATGGCCTGCGCCGCCTGTACGTCGAAGTGGCAGGCGAAGGCAACTTCCGTCACCTCTCGGCCCTGCTGAGCCTATGCCGATACGTAGAACATGCGCACGTGCACTTTGTGCACGGTTCCTTCGCGGAGGCTCTTCTGCGCAGCCGCATGATCATAGCCGTCCTCCACGACTTGGAAACATTCACGTTCACCTCCGAGCTGCCTTCTTACAAACAACGCGATCCCACTGCTCCGTTGCACTTCGTGAGCTGCGCAGCCCTGTGCGGCAACGTCACTTTCCGGAAGCCGACTGGTACGTGGAGCTGCGTTCGACTCCGTCACCTTGTGCTCGATCGCCACGAGCCTGTTATCCTTCCCTTCCAGTTGGTGATGGTGGTCGTCGCCTCGGACGAAGACCCCGTGACCGAATGGATTCGTGTGGCCAGCCTCGGGCATGACTGGACCAAAGTGAGTCTTCTCTGCCTCCTGCTGTTCCCGGAAGAGCCCTCCAGCTTTTGTTACCCGGCGGCTGGAATTTCGTATCGCGAAAGCCTTCGTCTATTTTTCAGCACGGCGCTGAAGTAGCTCGTCGAGCTTAACATCTGCTCTTTTCACTTCGGTGCCGACCTTGACTTCGCTGAACTGGTTTAAGATGGGTCGTTGGATCAGCTTCACGCATTCTCAGCGTCTCCTTGTGCCTTTCGCTGTCCCTCAGCTCTGCGACGTTTGGCACAGGCCTGCCCTGACCTTACTGACCTGGACGTTCGGTACGAGAGAAAAAGTGGCTTTGTTCAATGTACGGGCTGTGAGGGGAGCGACGGACATAAGTGAAGGAGTGACCAAAGCCTTCTTTCCTAATGGACTTGCCCGGCTGTCCTTAACAGACGTGCACGACACGGCGTGCCTGTGGTTTATCGAGAACTGCAGTCCTGCGGCTACTGTGCGCCTCTGCAACTGCCCGTCGAGCAGGGAGAATAAACGCTTGGGTCGGATGCTCGAGAACTAGAGCATGTCGAGCTGCCTCAATCTTCGGCTCGAGCTAGTGGAGGAATCTACCCTATTGGTAAGTATACAACTTGTTTCTATCGCAATGCACCTAGGTGGACACGTGATGGGTTTTTGAAAAATTTTCTGTGATTGCTAATCTCTCCTTAGGTTGTTCAACTGCACTGTTCTGGTTAATTTTACTGATGTTCCCTTGCAAAACAGAAAAATTTTGCTGGGTTTTTTGTTAAGCAGGTTGATTGATTTTCATGTGAAACTTTTTGATGCGTCAGCGAACACGCAAGTTGACCGTAAACGTCAAGGCGGCTGACACAAAAAGTCATCCTCAAACGGGAATGGTACTATACGTCTCGAGAATTTGTAACGTCAGGTAAAGTAACGTCGCATGTTGACATCGTCAGATGACACCGTCTTTTAACTAAAGATGAGGTGGGTGTGGTGCACCTTTCACCAAAAAACAATGTCAAAGCTGCCCATAATTCCCACCGCGGAAACAGCAAAAAATCGCATTCGTTTCAGCGTTTTTGCGGAGAGGGAGGGGAAGAGGGTAGGTTCATACAATCGAGTGATAACGTGATTTCCACCTTCGAGTTTTGCTTGGTATATGACATGCTCTTCAGCCGTTTTCTATTAAATTCTAGAGCGTGTTCGATTTCTCGGCAACAATAAAAACGCATGAAAGTTTCTGCTTATAGCCTAGTACCGTTTTTGGTCCTAATTGCCTAAAAATAGATATCTCATCTGCATCGTTGTGCATTTTGAAGCTCAGGTGTTCTTTATCTAAGAAATCATTGCGTAAGTGGTTGGAGCTTCTAACATCTTCCTACCATGCACTCATGCGACCGTCATTGTGTATTGTTCGATCTTAGGCGAGGGTGTGCTTCGTCACAAGCCTCGAGTACCTGTACATCTTGTCGTGGGATCGCCTTTCGGAAGACGAGGTCCAGATATTCGTGCGTACGTCCAGCAACACCCTACGTCACCTGAAGTATCTACACGTCCACTACAGGAAGGTCCCGACGATGACTTCAACAACCGGATCGCATGGATGCGGGGACCGTGCTCAAGAAGCAGCGAATCCATGGTTCGTAATGGACCCTTCATCCAGTCTTGCTCGACGGCCACTTCCATAAGACTGGCTAAGCCGCTGAACCGGAACGTGCAGCCCATGCTGTAGCCTAATTTTGGACTATTGACAAAGAACCCAAAAACGTTCGTGAAAAAAAGTTGCCTAATGACATCGATTACATCCTAGCTTGCTTCAGAATGATGGCTATGTCCTGCTTTTTGTACTACATCAAAAAGAAATAAAATAGTTGCAAAAGCCAGAACGCTTTAATGCCAAGCTAAGGCTCACGCGCGATAACAGCGCCTCCCCTTTTCCCTCAATTTGTTACGTGCAGTACATCTATACTGTGACTGCGTTTGACCATGACCAGGCTAAAGGGACTTCTTCGTATACTTTTAATCAGGCATTCATCCACTATGCCAGTGCCTGCCGCCTCTTCTACACAGCACGCAACAATTCTAGCAAGTAGAGGTGCTGCCATTGTTCGCGAGTTGTTGCTATGCGGATAAGTCGCATTGTAGTTTTTTGCAACTCGTTCGTTGTAAAGCAGTTAACATGGACTAGGAATGAGACACAACACGGCGGGAAGACACGAGACGAGGTGTTACGTTTCGTGTCTTGTTTTTGGGGCCATTCATAGCTGCGCCATTCATTTGTTACTGATCCTTGATTTTCTGCATTTAGCAGACTTTCAGTACGTGGAGCATAAGGGTTGTCAAACATTAGTTTAGTTGTAAGAAATTAGTAACTGCACCGGTTGTGTAGTGGTTTTATGGTCGACTGCTGTCGCGAAGGTCGAGAGTTTGAATCCGGCTGTGGCGACTCAATTCATGCATGGATGCGAAATTCT